CCTGGCTTGCAGTTGAATTGCAAGAATCTTATTAGAGCAATGAAAAAATGATAGCAATAAGGCTTTTATGCAACTAGGATACTAAGATATTAAATAGATCTGGTAGGTGGAGTTGCTGCTACCCAGCAGTAGCGTTTGTGTAATGGAGAATCAGGCAGGCTTTTATTTAACATTTTTATCTTAAGATACTCTAATCTCACCAAAACTTTTCTAGCTCTTTCATGAAACTGGAAAATATTCCAGTTGCATCTCAGGTATTTTTGTAAGTGGTAGTGAATTTTCAGATGGTCAAAATGGAGTCTGAGTCTCTTGATTCTTGTCTGTAGGAAGTTAACTTCTCTTCAACTGCATGGTTTCAATTCTCTAAGTCACTGAACTCCTAACTGGTGATTGCCCTCATCCTTGTCCTATTTTTTTTCCTTCCTCCTCTTGATATTCTACAGCCTCCTTCCCATGCTTGGTAGAAGTTGATGGACTTTAAGGGCCTTTGTTCTGTTTGCTTTGTTTATTTGTCCTAGGGCTACTTTTTTGATGCACTTAGTAGAGAACACACCACTAATGTTCTGTCATTCCATCCTTTGCAAATCAGTCTGGAGGGCAGAGGATGTGCTGTCTCCTGAGTCCCCTTTGGCTGCCTCTCCGATTGATGCAGAGTCCAAAAACTGCATGTGTTTTGTTTTCCAAGCAGAGTTGTATGCCAAAGCCAGTGTGTAAGCACATTCTCTGTCTGGAACTAGGAATTGTAGACATTTTTATGGAGGGTTGCTACTTAAATCGTCTTTTTTCTCACCACTTTTATTAATGGGAGGGTGAGAGCTTTTGTCAGTACTGGAATACAAGGTTGGAAGCCAGAAATTCCTACATTCTGATCCCAGTTCTGATGGGAACGCATTTGGTTGTCTGGGGTAAGCTCTTTCCTGCCCCTTTTACAAGAGAGATGTCAGTATACTCAATATTTGGATTGTGATTGTAATCTAGTTTCCCAACAGACTGTTCTTACTGTGCAAGCCCTCTAAATTGAAGGCAAAGCACACAGATGTTGTAGCTTCCAAGAAGTTCTGATTGTAGGTGACCAGAGAACGACCTCTCCAAGAGGAGGTGTGCTGTAATTTTAACAGGGGATTGGTCCTCCCCTTCTGGAGATGAATGCTTAGCCAGCAATGCCTTGTTTGACAACAGATAGGAAGGAGGAAGTTCTCCCCTGAACAGGGTTATTGCCAGTCTGTTGAACTTGCTGGCCTTGTCTCTCCCTCTCCCCCACACAATCTCAGATTTGTGCAAGCCTTACAAAAATGGACTTGAAAACAACCCTTGAACACGTGCCAGCTATCACATTTGACTGTGGTACTTTGTTTTCTGGAATAGCAAACACTTGTGCTACTTCATCACATTAATTCTCTTTCTCTCTCTTGTCCTACTTCCCAGCTCTTACAAATCCATTGCAGCTTCTTGCAGCCCAGGCCAGCTCATCCACTCCTGTTGTAGTCAACCGGGTGTGTGAGCCAGGGACCGAAGAGACAGTGGCAGCCTCTTCCAGTGAACCTGAAGTCAAAAGACCCCGGATAGAAGAGTCCAGCGGAGCAGTCCCAGCCCAAACTGGAGTCATCACATCTACAATGCCACAAGGACAGGCAACCACTGAATGAAGAACCAGTGGGAAGAGCTGGAGTGATGCCAGGTGGGCATGGGATGGCAAGGAGCCCTAAAGCAGCTTTCAAAGAAAACAAACCACAACTGTAACAGCTCAAAATATAGTGGATAAAGAGCTCTTTTTAAAGTCAGATTTTTTTTAAATGGGAGGTCAACAGCTGTTAAAATCACAAGGTGCCAAAAAGAATGGAAAACCCCTCCCAGGAACCCATATCTGGAACTCTGTTCTGTCTTTACCTATGGGATATTTTTTCCCTTTTTTTTTTTTTTTTTTTTTTTAAAAAAAAGATTCAAAAAAAAAAAGACAACTGATTGTATGACTGCTGGGATATTTTTAACTGTCTTTTCCCCTTTTGGCTCTAAGGGGATGGGATTTGCAGTTCAGCATCTAAAGGAATGTAACACAAATACAGTCTGCTCTCTGGAAAGAAAACTCCTCATTTTCTATGCCTTAATACTGTGCTTCTCAGAGCTTTGAACCATAGGACCATTTTAAAAAGGCCACCTAAGGCAATCAAATGCTGAAAGATGGGTGCAGTATCTCACAACAGCAGCATTAAAGAAACATGGTACCAAGCTTAAAGAAAAAGGCAAATGATTTTGTTTTTTAAAAAAAAAAAAGAGAAAAATTCTGAATATGAACGAATGTTTATTTATGTGGGGATTCAGGAGGAAGAGTTACAGGGCTCAACCACCTGGATTTCTGGATGCAATTTCTCTCCATTCCCTCTGAGGGAGAATAAGATGACAGAGGAACTGTATTAATTTGGTTCCTGTAAAGATATTAAAAACAAAGGGGTTTGTACCTTCAGTGATTTCTTATAATTACTCATCACTTGCTCTGGACAACAGCCAAAGTACATTGATGACTGAGGATCACATGGGAAAGGGAGTCTCCAAAATGTTCTGTGTGCATTTGTTTGGTTACATCCTGTACTGGAGCACCAGGTTTTGTTCAAAATAGCACTGTAGGTGAAGACATTGCCACTGTCTCTGTGAACTTGAGAAAATATTGTTTGGTCTTCTGCACTAAAGCTGTCTGCCTTCACCTCCTGTTGGTAGTGTGATGCTCAACTAGATGGATGATGGTCAGGAGACCAGGGCTGGGTAGGAGTGTGTCACTGACCCTCTGCCATGGCTAACAGCAAAGCTCCTGTGTTACTCTTCTGAGAGGGAAGTTGAGAGCTGGGGTGCGAGGCAGCAGAATTAATACAATGTTTAATACAAATTCTCTAAGGATGGAGAGACCAAGAAAAAAGAGGCCTTTTATTTTCCATGTGGCAAAAGTCACTGGAGGTCTTAAAACAGGTTTTCCAAAAGGAATTTGAAGAGCTTCCTTTCATTGCCTGGCTTCCTCTCCCATCTCTCCTCCCTGGAGGACCATCTGGGTTGGCCAGTAGGAGGAGGCTTTTATTCAAACTGTATTCCAGGCTTTTCATGTGCTACAAGTATGTCTGGTGAGTAAAGCAGATTTGAGTCACTTCAGCCACGTGTGTGTGATGCCTTGTGACTGGCTAAGAAATCGACCCCTGCGTAGCCTCCAGCTAACTCCTTTGGTTTTACACCTCTTTGTGATCCCCTTGGCTAACATGTCTTCTGGCAGCACAGCAGAGATCTTTTAATTTAGGAAATGTTATGGCTTTGGTAATGGCAGAAGATACTTAAAAGTGATGGGATATGCCTTTGGTAAGTTATCTTCCTGTCTGTACTGATTTATTGTCAGGTTGCTGTCTTGTACAATCTGACAATGCTATTGCAGAGCAGAAAGGCAAGCCCACTGCATAAACATGTTGCAAAAAGATTTCCCTAACGTGCAGTAAATGATACTGTCAGTATGTCTGTGGGGATTAGGGAGTAAGGCACAGCCTTACAACAACCATCCAGTGTCTGCTGGAATTTGGGGAGGGAGGAGGAAATCCACAAGGTAACAGCTGGCATCACTTGTTCCCTTCTAGGTTTCCTTTCTCTCTGCCAAATCCTATTCAATAGCCAAGTCCTACTGCTTGAATAAAACCCAACCGTGTTTTATTCTCAAGCCAATGGTTTTGTGAGAAATATTTCTGAAAGAAGGAAAGAATTTCCTGGTCTCGTGATTTGCAGTTACACTTTACCGTTACACATTCTACAGAGGCACACAAAGTATTCAGGACAGTTCACTTATCTACAGCTAAGCTTTCATAATTTAGGTTTGTGCCTTTAGTGACAAGTTATTAGATTGGATTTTAGTACTTTAAAATGATTTTGTGAAGGAGGATTGTTACAGACCACAAAGTAATTGAAGCAGGCTGGCCTCCAGCTGTCACTTTTCCTGCTAGGAAGGCTAGGTGCGGCATAGCGGAAAAGCACACGGATTAGCTCTGTTTTCTGTAGCCTTTTCAAAGCCAGGATTCAATAAAATAGACTTCAAGGAAGAACACACAAGTGAGAGTGCAGCATAGTTTATCTGTGATTAATCAGTTTTTTTCAGGTGACTGCTGCTTTAGATACAGGCACGCCTCTGAAACAGCCCTGAGGCTAAGGAGCTTTCCTGAAGCAAAGGAGTCTTTAGGTTTCCAGTAGGTTGAATGAGTCAGCACAAGATGAGCAACCAACAGAATACTGTTCAGGATGTGAAGCTGACAGTTTGGTGGATTTTTCTTTACTGCTGCTTTTTCTCTTGGAAAGTACTAAGTAATTAGGTCCTAAACTTCTGTGAACTAGTCCAGAACCAATAGAAATACATCAACTGAATGACTGTTCATGCCCCAGCTCCTGCTTTATAGATACCACTTGAAAGTCCATCCTCAGGTTGTGTGTATAGATCTGCTGCCTCAGTATTTAGAACAGAATTAACATTTTCACTCTTCCTTTTCTGGCTCACAACACCTGCTGGTCAAAATGTGAGTTGAGGATACACAAATATCTTTGATCTGTTCACCAGTTCTGCTTGAGGTGTCTGGAACTTGTCAGTTCATCCTATCAGGGGATTTTTGGTTTATCAGTCTGCTGCATCCCCCTTGCTACTGTAGGAAACAGCCATGCCACTTGAAGAAAAAACAAACATAGATATATATATTTTTAGGTTTTCTTATACATTGCCATATCATTGACTGACACTGGGTAAAATAACAGTTCTTGCTAAATCCTTTTGAGACCTGTGGAAAAATGTGGTCCTGATCTGGAACACATGAGATGGGGACATCTTTCAGGCCTCCAGATTAATTCTTTGAACACACTGCTCAGTCTTTTTCTATGTTACCAGTCCTGATTTCCCAGCCTTTCAGTTTTGAGCACTGCAGAGGAATGAAAATTAATGTGATGGTAGAATTAAGTCTTCAGCTAGGAAGCAAATGTTACCTTAATGGTTATATGCAGTACTTGGATCATCTTAAATTGATCGTCTAACTTGTTTTTATTGTCTAAAAAGTTACACGTCACATCCTCAGTTAATATAATTAACTGGAGGTTTGAGGGGGAGAGGAGTAGAAGGCTTCACTGCATCTTCTGCTGTCTGTATGACAAAGGTCAAGGCTTGTTGAATATTTAACCTGCTATAACTTAAACCTGGAAAAACCTAGTTTTTGATGCCAGAATTCATTTTATTGATTTTCCCCGCTCCCCCTTAGGCAATGGCAAAAGACTAATTTTACTTTGATTGTGGTCAGTTTATAGCAACTTCTGTTGCCTCAATTTGCAGAAGCTGAATGCAGTTTTCTTGGTTTTATTCCACTGGAATTCCTTAGTTATTGTTTTATCTTGACCTTGGCTCTTGTGATACAGGAAGCTTTTTACAGTGAGATCAATTTAATCTGATTTAGTGATAACATGGTGCTGCGCACAGAATTGAAGTTCATTATTAGCTCATATATTCTTTTCAACTCCTTTTTCTTCCCATATTCCTCCCTCCCCCATACCATTAACACTGTCTACTGTAGCATATCCAGTCATTTTTATCCACTGATGGGAGCAGCACCTTGCATTAAGCTCTGCCCAAGGACTCAAGAATTAAAATACCTGTGGGATACGTGGAGCTCCAGAGCAGGTTGAGAAAGGCCAATTTGGTCACCCTGTATTTAATTTTCATGCTATATTTTAGACATGTTGCTGTTGGGCACAGCTTGTTCAGAAGTGTGTTTTCAGAGACATGTTAAAGCTTTGTAAGAGGAAAGAAATAGTTAAATTAAGAGCTGAAGCTTTTACAGTGCTTCTGCAATCAATGTCATGGTCTGGCTTCAGGTTTTGGGAGGGGTAAACTTGGGTTTGTATGTTTTCGACATTGGTCTTGTGTACTGACTTAGAAATGTTATTCAGAGTTAACTTCCACCTTTTATCCCCTTTTTCAGTAGGGAAATGCCAGCAGTAAAATAAACCTTGAAACACAGAAGGCTGGGAACCTGTATCTAAGCAAGTGAGGCGTCTGACCTGCGCTTTCATACAGTGCAGTGTGGAACACTTCTCACTGACTGCTGCGGATGTTAAATTGATGTTAGAGCTTTTCATCTGTGTTAGCAAGGGCATTTCCCAGCGAGATATTTGTTATCACTCTGATGTGTGCTAGTGTGTAAATGAACGTTAAAATGTAGGGTGAAAGGAGAAATGCTTCCCTGCTATATCTAGGTTTGGGGGTCTTGGATGACAAGGATTTAATCTAGCAATAGTTCTGTACTTTTCCATAGAGGATCAAAAGCTGTTTCTCAAAGCTTATTGCATCTAAGGATTAAATTCCAACTGGTTGGTTGTTCCATCTTTGTTTCTGAGGCTTAAACCGTGACTTACAAATTATAGTTTAGCACTGTGATAAACATAGATCATATAAAATTGCAGTATTAGGGAAGATCAGTTCTCTATTTGTTGCCTCTGCCATTGGCCAGGTGTAGCTGTGTAAAAAACATAGAATAACTTGGGTTGGAAGAAACTTTGAGAGGTCTCTGCTATAACCTCCTGCTGAGAGCAGGTCCAACTAGATTACCTTGTCCATCTGAGGTTTCAGTGTTTCCAGAGAGAGTTTCCATGGCTCTGGTCCCTGTTCCACTCTGATCACCCATGAGGTAAAAACTTTTTATCAGCTAAGAAGAATTTCCCATGCAACTGCGTGTATTCACTGCCTCTTGTCCTATCACATCACACCTCTGAGAAGAGCCTAGCTCTGCATCTTCCAAACAGATAGTTAAAAGACACCAGTAAGATTTCCCCATTTGCTGCTGCTTCTTAAGACTGAACCAACCTGGTTGTTTTGGTCTCTTCTTGTACATCATGTGCTCAGATCCCCAGGGCATCAGGTGGAATTGCTGCAGAAGGTCCCTATCTGTCTTGTACTGGGGAGCCCAAAACTGGGCACAGGACTACAGATAAGATCTGACGAATGCTGGGTGGAGTGGAAGAAGAATCACTTTCCTTGGCCTGCTAGCTACACTTCTGCAAGTACAGCCCAGTACCTCTTTGGTCTCTTGCTGCAGGACAAGTGTAAGTGTAAGAAAAGAGAGTTGCAAAGTGAACTGGAAATACTCTGGATTGCATTTGTATGTATAGAACCATCTTGTCCCTCTCTGCCAAGGAAGAGTGCCAGATTGGGTGTTGGAGCTCTTTTGAACAGGAGGCAGCACTGTAGGATCCTGATCACTTTTTTAAAATATCTGTGCTTTACCTTATCGGAATGATAGTTTAAATCCAAAGTGGAACTTGCCTTGAGTTTCTACCCTGATGCAAAATCTTTCAGGTTTTTTAGCCCTGCTGCTAATGAGTTGGACTAGGGCATTAAGAATGAACCTCTAGAGGAACATGACTAACTTCATAATTTTGCCCTTGCTGCACACTGAGCTTTT